GAAATTTGAGTCCGAAGAGATAGTAAGCAACCGATCCAATGACTCCAATTAGAAAACCGAACAACCCATGGTCCATGGAGGGTTGCATTATGACCAGTAGGATTAGAAACAAAACAGTGACGCTTAAGGCAAAACTCAGACTACTCGAGAATTTCTCATAAATTTTCTCTAAAATAATAGCTAAAATCAAGCAGATGAGATTTGCTATTGAATTTACCTTGTAGCCACACGTTCCACGGATGAATCCAAGTCCACTCAAACGACTCGAATTAGATACCAGAATGGCTATAATTTGGTAAGACAAAGTCGTTTTGAATCCAGTGCGATCATGTTCCGCGTATAGCTTGGTTTTCCACACAAAATTGTTGCAGTAAACAGAGCAATCTGGGCAAAGAAAAAACTCAATTTAAAATTTATATATGTGAAAATTTTCCTTCATTAAATAAAAAATTTCAATATTTTTTCTAATTTTTTTTAAAATTATTATTATTATTAATTATTTAATAAAAACATGTTAAATTAATATTAACTTCAATAATTTAATAAATAATAATTATTTTTAATATTTCATTTTATATTTAAAATTAAAATTAATCAAAATTTTAAATTAAAAAAATTAATTAATTTTAATCAACTTATTTTAATTTAAACTAAGCTAACCTGATTTTTACCCAACCGAGTTAAATCTAAATATTTTTTATTTGAATTATGTTAAATTTTAATTAAATTTTAAATTCATGACTCGACTTATAGTGAATGAATTGAATCAAAGATTCAAATTTCATCCAATTTTGCCAAGTAGAGTTTAAAATGGTTCAGTATTTCTCATTACCCTCTTTCTATCTATTCCATTTGAAGACCCAGTTTGGGCACACTCAATTTCTAAAACCTCATTCACTGTTTTGGCTATTGCTAATCAATCATAGTTTTTTTTTTTTTTCATCATCAATTTTTGAAACCAACTCAATAAACCCAAAGTCCAAAATAACACAACTTAATCCATCTGATCCTACTTGTTTACTTAGTGTATCCACAACGGTCACAAGGCACAAAAAACCTGTGTGGCGCTGTTGGACTACTTGTTACTTTCAAGATTAGAAAAAACAAGAACCCACCATAGAGCCCATTGACCCAATTTCTTGGATATGGGCTGGGCTCTAATTCCCCTGGACTATATTCCCCCTCCTCAACTCATGAATGGTAAAAAAAATGGCACATCCTAGACTCCTTGTGATCCTCTGTTTTTCCATGTAATTAATGGGCCGGATTTATCCGCTATGAACAATAAATGGGCCTATTGTTATTTTAGTGTGAAACAGGGCCTTCCTCTTTTCTTGTCTTCTAATAATTATTTTAGTAAGCAATTAAAGGCAAGGTTTTTAAAATCGGACCGGACCAGTACCCGGTGATGAAAATGGTTCGGTTTATATGAAAAAACCATTTAATGTCAAAATCGGTCAAAATTGGTCAAAACCAATCAAAACCGATGAAAACCGATAGAACCGAAAAAATCACCGGTTCAATTTCTCATGCAATCTTTTTTTAATTTTTTCCAATTTCACCCTTCCCATTCCTTTCTTATACCCATTTTAACCTTTAATTTTAACAAAATTACAAAATTATCAAACACCAAATTAGAAAATCCATGCCTGCAGCTTGCTCCTCTCATCAAATCTTCCTTGCTGTTTGGATCGGTCGGTTCATCAATTGAACCGATTGAACCAGTTAAACTGAAAGCTAGACCTAAAAATGGTTCAATGACCGGTCCAATTTTAAAAACCTTGATTAAAGGGCCGGATTTGTCCTACATTTTCTCGTTGTCATTAGTCTTTACTCTTTAGCTAAGGTTATCTTAGGATAGTTCAAAAAATGGCTAACTTAGGAATTTTCCTTCCTTACCATTTTTTAAATGTCAGTATAAG